TCTACCATCTCTGTCTGAATTCGTGCGCGTTCCCCTCTCTTTAGCTCCAATCAAAATTCACTTCTTTTTAATAACAGGGCGAATTGGGATAATCGCGAAAAATTTTAAAAGGATGCGAAGTCTGTTTTTCAGCCACGTTTTCATGGACGTCGCCGTTGTCGGATCGTAAGGTCCCTATTGGATAGTACGCGCCATCGCGCGCACGCTTAAGGACGGTGCCCACTATTGTTACTGCGCACATTTTCTGCGCATGCGAAGGTAGTCGCGCGCGACGCGACAGAAATGGGAAACACGCAGGACACGAGGACTGATTTTGTCTCCTGTAAGTCTGGGAGGTTCGGGTTATTTCTTGTGGAAAAGATACGTCGTTTTCAACAGATGAAAAATAATTTCTATCTACCTTGTCAGTTCTTTGGAAACCGAAGAAGTATGTGCATGTTACTATTTCTACGTATGATCTATCTGACGGAACATTTTTATAGTCAAACAAAAGTCAATTCTAAAACATCAAAAGTTATTGTTTCGAGATGTTACGCTTAGGGTTTGGGTATTAACAAATCCCTTAATAGGCAAGGATCAGTAAATCAGAAGGAAAATAGCTCTAAGTCCTCCGCTTAATCGAGAAACTGCAAGCTTACCTTTAACTCGCGTCCTTCGCTTTTTATCGAGTAATCGGCTATAAACACTTTCCCGAATATTTCTTTAATTTTGTAAGATTTTATGTAATTATTCACCAGAAGATAGACTTACAGTGTTCGAGTACATACAGATGTCCCTTTTATTGAGAGTCCGAGGCTTTTATTTGTTGAACAAACAAGAAAAAAACTATCACAAGATTGTTTGAATTCATGAGATCACAGCTTCACAAATAGTTGCGGACCGCAAAGGAAACGCTTTCATCGTGGAAAAAATGATAAAAAGTTGTTATGCTTTTTTACTATTATCATTGTTATTTAAGCATTTTGGCATTATTAAGCCTTGAAATTATTGACACACTGACAGCTTGTCGTGTAGATAGTATTTCTTAAGGTTCAATTTCACGCCACATGTATTCTGGACATTTAGACATAGCTGCCATTTCGCTGTTTACAAACTAAAGATGGAAGGTAAAATAAACTGAAGTATTTCCATTCTAAGACTTTCTTAGGTTTAACAGACACTGTTAAGTCTAAAATTAACATTTATAAACGAAAAATAGTGAATGATCATAACACAGAATGCTAGAGTAAAAAAAATCAAAACGAAATATATAAAATGATCATTATAGCCCAGTGCATATATGATCAGGGTACATAAACGCATTCGGCACAACTACTTTCACACTATGCAGCTTTTTTAAAAGAGAGCACATGTATGGAACTTTAGTCTATGCAAATCATTTATGTCATATGACATTTGTCGCAAAGCCCGAAAGAGATAGCGCAAAGCACAGATATAAGCTCATTGAATGTGTGCAAGTTTAATAACATATTCGATCGAGGTACCCGGTAAAATGATAAAAGAACGATAGAAGGTTTACAATCCATATTGCATCTACAGTCAAAAAATCTTGAGGAGATGTACAGGTAAGCAAACGATTGAAGGATTACCTGTCTTAGAGTCCCTGTCGACTATTTTCCACTACAGTATAGCAGTTTGTTTACAGCACCAGCCGTGGATCTTGAGCTCGCCATACTACTCTATGTGCGCTGCAAGTAATCTCTAATACCTTGGAGATTGCTCTTCTCCAAACATTTTTGTTAAATGTTTGAGACGGAGAAGCTCCAGTTGAATGAAATAGTATAATTTGTTTTCCTTAGAGTCCATGAAATGTCCTGCTTCACTTTCTGTTTTTGCTCTCCTCCGTGTGTTGTTGTTTTCTCTGACTGTTAGCCATTGTGGATATCCCAGAGTACTTCGCGTTGAGTGAAGCAATAGTGAAACTGACCGGGGAGGGGATGGGGAAAATTGTAAATAACCCCCAAAGCGATTAAGTTAAGGTCGAAACCAACCAATTTAACTTCTAAAAACGCGTGGTAACCCCTACTTTTTATCTTACCAAATGAAAGTAATAAGCCTACTCAGCAAACGATCAATTTTTGGTTCGGGGAAAATGTCGTTTACACTATTTTTGAGGCAAACGCGTGGAGAGGGGTAACTGCTGATAAGTTCCCAGTTGTGCTGATATTTCAAAAAAAGACGTTTAAAGAGCAGTTGTTATGTTATCATTTGTTGCCTATTTTGAAACCTTGTTACAATTATCGTTGCATTTGTGCCAGTTCACGTGTACACTCTGAAATTTTGGAAAAAAATAACTTTTTATCATTTTTTTAAAAAACGCCTATTAAGCGTCTTTCTCCATATTGAGGCGCAGTTATCTCTGAAAAATGCGTGGTTATCCCCAGTTTTCTTTTTGCATTTTAATAGCCCCTGATATGATCTACTTGTCTCACATAGTCATTATCTGGGAAAAAATACTTCCCATTAGTGGGCACCGTCCTTAAGAAAGTTAATTCGCCTTGACTGTGGTACTGATTGATGAAATAAGCACCAAGAGGATTCATATTGAAAAAAAATAAATTAAAATAAAATAAGAGGAAATTTTTATCTATTCGCCTGCGGAGTCAATGATTTATCACACCTTGTTGTTTTAATCATATTCGAAACGATGAATGTCCTAACGAAAGTAGACGCATCATGCCGTTTGTTGCGTCTGTTCCTTTCTGGTTCCTCCCAGAAAGGTATGCTTTGGAGAACTCTTCGGTAGTTTATCGTGTGCCGCTTAGATAATTTTCTTTGAAAGCTAGGACATGTGGTAATTGACTTCCTATGCGTTGCGTGGTTGCTTCTTGGTTCAGACAGAACTTTGATCAGATCGAGAGCCTTTTATATTTGTTCTTATACTTCTTTTTATACATGTTCTTTTCAAGGTTTTAATTTCCATGGTTTTTATATAAGATGAGTCGAAGCGTCGTAGCTGAAATGTCATCTTGACTATGATCAATTTACTGCTGTAAATACTTATTTCACGCTGGGTCCGGCCCAGGGTTTATAATATTTCGGATCATTGTTTTGTGGAGATACTTGTAGGATTTTAACTTATTAACGAGCGATTGTCAGAGATTTCTGAATCAGTCAAGATGTTTCTGTACAATCGATTCGCCACCTTTTGTCAGCGCTGGTTAAATTGAAATAAATCGCGGGTATGAGCGCGATGTCATTAAGCTATATTATTTTCCCTTCGCTGTAGCGATTGGTCCCACGTCACATACATAGCTTAAGAAGCCGTTGCTTCACATGGAAGTCAGCATTCAACGTCGCAGGAAACCTTGTAAGGAGGTGTTTACAAGAGAAAACTCGCACCGGCACGAGTTTTATACGGGGATGACTTTTTCATTTCGTATCGCGTTCACATGATGACTGCGTCATTTTGTATATCGTTGTTTGAAGGTACACTTCATGTTGATAAAATGCACGTGTGATTTAAAATAACAAATATTACGCATGCGCTACCCGTTCCAGTCTACTCCCAAACCGATTTCACACCGAAACGGTTGGTCATTACCCCAGTTTTCTTTTTGCATTTTAATAGCCCCTGATATGATCTACTTGTCTCACATAGTCATTATCTGGGAAAAAATACTTCCCATTAGTGGGCACCGTCCTTAAATGGCTTTTTTTTTCACTGTTGGCAAAAAAAATCTTGGAATTTCTTGTGTTTTGATTTAAAAAAGAGCCTTATATATCACAAATTTTGTCAGAATTATGATTAATTGGTAACAGAACTTCGTGTCGTCCAATTCGCTCTGTAATCATAAACTCGTGATTAAACAAATCGGTCTGTATGATTACAGACCAAATTGGACTCTACTCAGTCCTGTCACCATTAATAGACCTTGTCACGGTTTTCGACGCCATCTTGACGAGTAGGCAAACGCGTGAGAAATTGCAGTGTTTGTATGAGAATCTAATGTCGAATAATTTCCGTAGAACGGCTGTTCTAAAAAAAAAAATTATGATTTGTAAACTAAAGCGTCACTCCCAAGGATTCTACTAGAAAAAAATTGACGGCGTTACATGCACTGGAAGACCTAGAACCACTTTTTTAAATTTTCTATACATTTGTCTGTAACAGACAAATGTATGGAAACTCTAATGGCAGCCTCTGGAGAAATTTAGGCACAGGTACACCTCCAAAATATTTTAGGATAATCCTTTGCTTTGTAGCTTTAGTTTACAACTGATATTTTTTTTTAGAACAGCCATTTTACGGAAATTATTCGACATTAGATTCTCATACAAACACTGTAATTTCTCACGCGTTTGCCTACTCGTCAAGATGGCGTCGAAAACCGTGACAAGATCTATAATAATTTTAGTTACTGACCAATGTGGCAATTTCAACAGCTTTGCTTCTTCCTTCGCTTGGTTAATAGATCCACTACCGGTTAGCCTGTCTACAGATGCCCCCCTCCCCTGGGGTATCCTCGTTCTTAACTCTTCTCCTCGCCATTTTTTTCGCACCTGTTTAGACTCGTTTCCCTCGGCCCCACTATCTGCCCCTGGGTCTCTGAGGATGCCCCTGAGGGTGTCTGTACACAGGCTAACTACCGATATGTATACAAACTACATGTAGCTAATATTTATAACTAAAATGTAAAAGCTACATATACCGCCATATCTAGTCTTCATTGATTTGTGTTTCAGGCCATTAAAGATTTTGTCCTGTATAAAAACATAACATATTTATACTGATTTTTCTAGGAAAACTTTCTTAAAATGTTCGAATATTTATGCTTAAGGGCTGTCATTTGAGCTGATATAATTTTTACTCTTTTTAGTCAGTTTAGTCTCTACTGTTGATTTGTAGCGGGCTAAACTTAAGAATAAGTGATAGATTGTGTCATCCCATAAAATTACTAATTGCACTGCAATGTACACTATATATTTGTAAAAGGTAATATATTCGGTCTATTTCATATCTAAACACTTGTTATGCTTCACAAATGTAACTAGTCTAATTATTGACTTGGCTCTCCTTTAAATGTCTTCAATTCAGACTGAAATGACGAAAACAAAAAAAAGAAGAAGAAAGAATTAAAAATGTACATATAATTTACCCAAGAAACACTAGGGAGCAGTAATATATGAGCTACTCGTAAGGTCTTTCCTGATTTTTTCTTTTAAATAATGGTAATTCATTGTCTACATGTACCATTGTTTTCCATTGTTTTCCAGTTTAGGTAGCAAACCAGTTGGCTTTGAGCTTTCAAGGAGCTGCTAACGTGGAAGCTCTGAGGAACTTGTTTGAAGATGTTCATGCATTTCAGATTGAGTTGGAATTTGAAAATGTTGGTTTCAGGGAAAACCAGAGTACTATGGTAGGGATAAACCACTCAGAGAATAGGTTGGAACCTGGGCCTGGGCTCCCCCTGATTTTTAGACCAGAAAAAAATTCTTTTTTTGAGACCGGGCCCTCCCCTCGCTTATCTCAGGGTCTGGATGACTGCCCCCACCCCCCTTATCTAAAGGTCTGGATCTGCCACTGCTATAGATGTGATTTTTCAACAAAAATTCCCCCAAGCCATAATACTGGCCTTAACTGATTAATAGTGATGTATGCTTTTTGCAAAAACAACTGGGAAAGCAAAATGTCCTGCTAAAATCTTCTTACTCAAAAAATCCAAACATAATGAATTTTAAATTTAAGACGATCCTTCGATCATCCCTGTGCCTTTGAATCTGGAGTACTCCCATGGGCTCTAAAGATCTTGGTCATAGGTTCATTGGAATTTATTAGAATGTAATTTGTTTGGGCAGTCTGTATTATTTGGCTTTTGTGTTTTACAGAAATAAGTCAAAAAAATCAATGCTGGGACATAAATCTATAAATCAACAAGAATTCAGTATGTTATATCATGTGTCCTTCCTAAAGTAGTTTATAGTTATCAGATATACCATACCTCTAACAGAGCACATTTGGTCTTTAAATGCTCAACTTCTTCTTTTAATGCACTGTTTTCTTTCTCTAGTTCATTAACTTTTCTTTCTGCTTGCATTTTGACAGAAAGAACTATTCCTGTTGATTATGAAGGCAGTGAACATATGTAGTATCAATTCATAACTTTCAAACCAGTTTTCAACTATATCATAGTTTTTAAAACAACTGTAAAAATTTTGTTGCCTAAACAACATAGCGGCAGTAACAAGGAAAAATTAAACTCCTTTTTTGGAATGTAAAATATGATACATTATCATATTGAACAAAGGCTTTGTTCTCTGCCTCCTGTGAGCCTGTTGATGAAATCCAAATTTTGAGTTTGATCATGCAAAGGTGGGTTGTGGTCACAACACAGAGCGAGCTCATGTTGCACACCATGACTGATAGCTTTTAGGTGATCATTGTACATCCCCTCTTGTACGGTACATACATACTAAATTGTAGCTAATCAACACACATAATAGTGGGGAAAGTAAGGTGCATGTTGTTGTTACACTTGCAGTACGTATACACTGTATTATGTAGATAAACAATCTGAAAATATTCCTGCATGATCACCAAACTACAAGTTTTTGAGCAAAACATTAATGTTTTGAAAAGGCCTGAAATGTAAAATCTGACGTACCATTTACGATTCTTGTAACTCGCCACAATCGCAGAAGAACAATTAGACTTACTCCATCAACAGCTCCTTCCTCTCCACTGTAATGAGAAAAAGCTGACCATCATTAACAATTAACCTCCTCTTTGTAAAATAAGTCATCCATGAGCCTTTTGTAAAAAGCAATCATCAAATATTTAAGCTGTCTACACAAACCTGAAGGCAACATCCAAAGAAAATGACACTATCACTACAATCCCATCAAACACCTGCCAAATTAAAAGTAATACTAAAATTCTGAACTATAATATGCAGCTAAACAACAACAAAAAAGGAAATCTAAGATCACTAAAATTTTAGTCTTCTTAATCTCACATTCTGTGGACTCTAGAGATCATTAGTCTTTTAGTCTTCTTAATCTCACATTCTGTGGACTCTAGAGATCACTAGACTTTTAGTCTTCTTAATCTCACATTCTGGTGGACTCTTAAAAAAACAACATGGAAAAGGATTCTTTCCCAAGCATAAGCTTTGGATTAATGACCAAGAAATGCAAAGATTATGAACTAAAAATATTGATTATTTTAGAACCAATTTTTTCTTAATAATGTCAATCCACCCAGATGTTTTAGATTACAAATGTATTTTGCAAGATCTGTCATAATGGATTCAAGAATCTACATGTAGATTTTGATTTTCCCAAAGAAGGATATGGGCATATAAAGGGCAAAAAAATAAGCTTAAAAATTATCTTGAACATTGAACTTTAGTTTATCATGCTATGCATTGGTAAAATGAACAATCAAACCTCCATCTTGTGTTTAAAAAACTTTAGCCCCATAGCATAGACCTTCAGAAACAACTGTAAAGAGAGGAGTGAAATATCACCGTTTGATCAAATCTTCCAAAGGTGGGGGGTTTCTCCTGTGTGGTGTGGGAGGGGATCCTCATCAAGGAAATTGAAATTAAACTCCTAAAACTCTGGGCGTGGCTTAAGCTAAATTTGTTCCTAAGAAACTGAGATGCCATTCTGAAACAGCCAGCCACATCAAAGTTATAGCAATAATTGTACTCAACATGGACGAATACCTTTCAGGTACAGAGTAGAGTGAGAATGTATGGGAAAAATATGATTAAAATGGATCTTATGACACAAGTCATTACTATTTATGGCACCCTAGAAGACTGAGAAAGTAATGTATTTTGTGATCTTTGACTGTAATAAGCAATCATAGACTGGAAAAAGGTCAGTCTTGTGAGTTTGTTGGCTTGGAATGCAACTTTAAGACCTTTTAAAACTGGAAAATTTTGTTTAATTACCTCAATTATAAAGATGGACAAAATAGCAATACTAATGTAGTGAAGGATATGAGGTGCTGGATTGTCATGATGAACTGCAACAAATAAAAGAAACATTCCCTTGTTTAAACTTCAAACTTTCTTGCAACAAATGCAGTCCAGTTGGTTTGCAATTGCATATTTGCAAGAAATATTGGATGTGTGGATGACACAATGCATTACGTCCCTTTTGAACTTGTTTTGCACCAATGTTGCAAGACAAGTCACCTGTTTATGTTGTCCATTTTATTGTACCTTAATGTGATTGGTACTCTCCTTTTTAACATCTTGATCTCAGTGCCTTTTATCACAGTTTTAAGGGTCATTTATTAGTTTAATTGTCACTTACCCAGTCATTCTATAATTTTTCAGTTTTGCTTGGTTAATCAATAAGTCTTTTGTATGGTACTGGTAACTGCTGATTATAATTCAGTTAAGTACTATTAATACTTTTCCATCCTTCCTTCTGGTTAAACCTGTGTACATGCAACCCCCACAGTATATCCAAGAAGTAAACCAGGAGAGTAAATGGGCATACCCAAAATATTTATCTCTTGGACTTGCTAGCAAGCAATATTATTTTACTTATCCATTTAATTAATTTTTTGAACTTATTTGCGAAATAAAACAACCAGAAGGGAAAAAAATGGTTTCATTGGACAACACTTATTTTCATCATCTTTTAACTCTTACTGCTGTGGAGGTGACCACAATTTTGCTTCACTCCTGTACCCAATCTGAGGCCATGGCTGTAGGTATTTGCAATACTTGTAGGTCCTTGACTAGAGTTTGCATGTAAACTGTAGTAAGGAGGTTTTTGGTTTGCTAGGTCATCTTTTCCAATGTTCAGGTGTTTAATTATTTAATATTGTAGGTTAAAATGAAATTCAGGTTAAAATAATTTCAACCAGCTTGATTTGATCTCAGTTCCCTTCGCTTCTTTACCCTTATAAGAGTCTAATAAATATTCATGTCCACGATGGCTAAAACCATGTTAACCTGTTTTTCATTTTGACCTAAACACTGCATGTACAACAAATACAAAGTGTAACCTCTAGCTGGTTCATCATCTGGCAGATGCAATAGATTGCCTATACTAGGAACGACAAAACACACTGACAGCAGCAAATATGCCTGCACTCACCTTTGATAGCTCTTAAATCAAGAAGTAATTCTGCAATAACAATGATCATGTCCAGAACAACCAAAATTATGATAGCATATTGTGCTTTCTGACTGTGAAGAATTTCACACAGCTTTTCTCTGTGGTCTTGAGCAGCTGGCCTAAAATAAACAGTAGGAAAAAAATCAACATCATTGCAGTCATTTATATGCAGGATGGATAAATTAAGCTGGCAAATTTCAAGGCATTGCCAACTAAAGAAACACGTTAGAAACTAGAAAAGAAGAAGGGTAACAAATTAAACTTGCCTTTGGCTTTCATCTTCTGCCAATTCCACCCCGCTTTCTGAAACTACATTACTATTGGTAGATATCTCCATTTCCTTCAAATCGGGCACTGAAAGTGACTCATTGTCAACTAATGTTTGGCAGTCTGATTCCTGCATTAAAAACTATATATAGCAAAACAATGACACGTGATTTGCACTTGAGGCGGAAGTGCCCTGTAAAGTAATGAAAACATGAACATTAAAATGCCTGAAATGATTTCTCGCAGTTTGTTACAAAAAAGCTAAGAATAGTAACCAAATACCTCTATATGGCATTACATCTCTCTAATATAATCTTCTCATTAAAAATTAACTAGGCGTAACATCGAAAAAGACTGGCACTAGTTCTTGGCGGCGGGTCCAACAAACATGGCGGACAGAGGTGGCGGTATTTTCGGTTACAAATAGTTGGGAAAAGCCTGCGTGTTCGCTATGTAATTCGCCAATCAATTCACCAGTCCTCCCTTGTAAAAGATGGCTACTTTTGAAGATTTCGAGGTATGTGTTTTGTTTCACTCGGTTGAAGGTTTAGAGGCTCCAAAAGTGATTTAACAAGTTAGTTTCCGGTGAAGGAGGGGTTTCATTTTTTTATTTTTGTTATAGTATTGAGTTTATATATAGTTGATTTAAGCGATTCAGGCGGTCCTCTAGCTAATTTATTTACTGAACAGTATAGTATGATGTGAACAAGTTTTGTGTTGTTTTTAGTTTTATACAATCCTCATTCAGGGCTGTCAACCCCCTTCTTCTTCAAATATAATTGAGAATTGATAGGGAAGGGATGACAAATGACGTCATAACGCACTACACATGACGTCATTTTTGCAAAAAATACTCGATGACTCTGATCGCTGCAAATTTGTGGTGACACAAAACCGGATTTGATGAGGAAACATTCAATGTTAGTAATGGTAACAGGACTGACTGGAGTCCAATTCGGTCGGTAATCATATGAATCATTAACAAAATCTGACAACTGCATAGCGGGAGTCCGATTTGTTTAATCAAGAGTATGATTGCAGACTGAATTGGACGACATGAAGTTCTGTTATCAATTAATTATAACTTTAACAAAATTTTTGATATATAAGGCTCTTTTTTTAAATGAAAACATAAGAAATTCAAAGGTTATTTTTTGCTAGCAGTGAGAAAAGCCTTTTTAAGCGCATGCCTGATGGCGCGTACTGTCCAATTACTTAGGCATGATGTGTACTGTCCTCTTAAATTGTCCCTTTATTAAGGCTGAAATCAGGGCAGTAAAATAAGCATCTTAGAATGTGGTGGGGAATCTTATATTAAAGGGTGCTCATAATCTCTGTTATGGGGTAAGATAGTTGAGATGTTGGTCTCAATAATTATTAGGACGGCAAAGTAATATAATTATTTGCTTGGAAAGGTATCATTTAGGGTTGTGTGTAAAGAAATATCTACATGTATAAAATATATCATACTATACTGGAGTTAAGTCTCCTTTCGGAGTTCAATAAAGCCTGAGCCATGCCAAGATTGGTCTCATTTAGGATCACTTTTTGATGAAAGTTACTCCCTGGGCTAGGAACCTATCTAAATTATGGCCAAGATGGGGGGTTCTGCTTATTAGATAAAGGATGCTTAGCTGATCAGGAGGGGATACTTGTTAAGTTTTAGTTTCATCCAGCTTAAAATTTACCATCTTTCATTCTTTCACCACACAGTGCAACATCGACATTGTTTATCCCAGCAGTATACAGGATGCATGTCAAATATGAACCTAGTATACGGCCTTGCTCCCCATGAGTTCTCTGTAGCTCAAGTGGATAGAGCACCCACCCGGTGTTTGGGAGGTCATAGGTTTGAATGCTGTTGTAGACTCAGATTTTTTTTTTTTTTGTCCCATGTTGTGACATGCTGATCATTTCATTTTCACAAGTTATCTTTATTTTGGTAAAATCTTAAAGTGATGTCATTTTTTTGTGTAGACTATGAAGAATCCCTGTTTTGCTCTGAAAATTTCCCAGCCGCAATTATTTTATGTTTGATTGTTTATGTCACAACAAAGTACAGTATTCTTGATGTATTTCATAAATCCTCGGTATTATTTTTTTACATTTAGGGAGATTTTGATGCCTATGAATATGTGGAACGTTTGGCGAGTACTGTCGCAGGTGGAGGATCCAAAGGAGGTGCTGATGCTTTTGATCCCAGAGCTTTGTCGGATGTTTTTGAAAAAACCATCCGTGAACTGACAGCTTTAGATGAAAAAATGCAAGGGAGGATTAATAAACTTGAAGAACTCTGTTCAAAGGAACAAGAAGAACATAAGCAGAAAGTCAGAGAACTGGAGACAACTTACAAGGTGGCCTTGATTGTTTGCTTCATACAGTATTAAAATGATTTCTGTGCTTTTTTTTTGTCATCCATTTTTATTTAATCTCTATTAAGTTTTAACTACAACAAATTTATAAATCCAGTGTCTAAGCTCAATAGCGTGAAGCATTAATAAAATTACCATTTGACAATACATGCAAGTAAAACTTGAATCGTTCAAATAAAGCAAGACAGTAACTACGAGGAAACACACAAAATAAATATTATTGAAATAATTGAGTAACTTCAGCAAATCAGGTTAACAATCCTAATGGAAAAGGAGTGTAAGTGGTGACTTTGCTGAAAATTAACTAAGTCACTTTCACCCTTTTGGCACAAAGCATGTCAATTGTCTTTGTCAGATTTTTTTGTTATTGGAAGTTATTTAGCACTCTTTGTTTGCTTACTTTATCTGTGCATTTTAATTTGCTGTTATTTTTGTTTCACAACAGACTGCTTCAGGCCTTTTCCAAGAGTTAGATGACAGAATAAACTATGTTGCCACTAAGGTTGTTCACTTGGGAGATCAACTAGAGGGAATCAACACCCCACGATCTCGAGCTCTCGAGGCCCAAGAGCTCATGAAGTACTTTGATGAATTTGCCACTGGAAAACTGAGTCCAAAAGTCTTCAGTGATCAGTTTGAGGTATGTGCTAAATGTTGGCAACATTCCAGGGATGAAAATTAACTCCAGTGCTTGGCGGTCAGCCAGTCAGTTCAATAGCCTCAGATAATTATAGTAATGATATTATTAGTAGGCTAGAGTCATTGATCGCATCATTATTAATAATGATTTTCATTATTGGTTTTTTACTTTCGGTAGATTCATGAAGCTGCAAACATTATTCAAAAATTGTCACTTATTGCTCAAGAATTGCCTTCAGAGAGGTATGTACAGGTGTACTAGTGCATGATATTGATCAATCAACAACGTTGGGCTCAATCTACAACATACCATTTAACCAATAACCATGGTGAAAGAAAGATGGTAAATTTGAAGCTCGGTGAAGCAAATGTGAAAATGAAATAATCAGCACGTTACAAGCGTGGGACAAAGAAAAAAAATCTGAGTCCCCAGCAGGATTCAAACCTATGACCTCCCAACACTGGGTGGGTTTGAGCTATGGAGAACTCATGGGGAGTGAGGCCATATACTAGGTTCATATTTGACATGCATCCTTCATACTTCTAGGATCAGCAATGTCGGGATTATACTGTATGGTGAAAGGATGAAAGATGGTAAATTTGAAGCTCGGTGAAACAAATGTGAAAATGGAATAATCAGCATAACCACTTTGGCAATTTTGTGTGAAGTTTTGTTAATCTAAACAGAGCCACCAAAGTTTTTGATCAATGTGTGTAATATTGTCATTTCTATTTTAGGTTCGGCCCTGTCAAAGATAAAATCAAAGGTGGGTGTCTAGCCTGACTTTAAGTAAAGGAATTTTTTGAATTATTGACCGTATGCATTAATCATGCAATAGTTTGCCTGGTTTTGGTTGCTTCTGACTGGCCATCGTGCGTCATTCATAAGGCATACTGCTGGTCGTATTTAGAGCTGTCATTAGGGGCTGTAAGGTCTCACAAGACCTGTTAAGACTGTACTCATTTGATGTCATGGGTGATCAAAGAGGAAAGCTCAAATTAACTCTATAAATTTTTGGTAAGATGGTATGCAGTGATTTTATTACAAATAGTTATGGTGAGTCCTGGGACTCATCTTGCGAAAAATCATGAGTCTCAGTCCAGAGCCATTGAGTGCCATAAGAATTATTCAAAAACACGAATCCCTGAGTCTTTATGTAACCACAGGGTTAATCTAAAGACACACTCCAAAACTCGGTATTACAGTTTACTGAAAGATTCAGAAATAAAAATATACTCCTTCTATTGTCAAGCACAACAAAGACTAAAAGAAATATGCATCATTAAACAACTACCTCAAGAACAGCCACAGAAATTGCACAAACAGGGTATTCTTCAAAAACATCTTCAGATTGATCAATCGATCTTTGCGTCTTACGGGGCAAATGCCAAAAATTATTTTGCATCTTTGGGGATTTTTATGCGTCAGGGATGCAGAGGTAACAAAATCACTGGTAATGGGTAAACCGTCATTTCAATGCTGTGGCTGCTTTTATACTGACAGCCCTGATTTTATAAGGTTATACTAAAGAAGATGACAACTGGGCACCCCAAAAGGTCATTATAAAATGGAGTCATTGTATTACAAGATTGTAGAGTAAGAAAGTAGTTGGACTTTTGTTTCCAGGCTAGATGGTAGTGGTCATAATGACAAGGTGATTTTTTTGAACAGGGTTGATCATGTGGTTGATTGTGGCTGTAATAGTACAGTGCTGTATGGAAGATGATTCATGATGGGTAGGCATGGGTACACTGCATTTGTTTGGGTTTTCTGGGTCTTTTTTACTAACTTGTACATGTACTTGCAGAATGCCATGATCGAGTGGAGGAGGCATTGATCAAAGAATTTAAAGAGGCTCATCACCAGGGAAGCATCAGTAGAATGAGAACCTGTGCAGAGACTCTACTGCCCTTTAAGGTAAAATATACAACCAGCAGTAGGCATTTGCTAAGAAGTGCGGGCGAACATGTGGGTTTACCTTGGAGATGTAATTGATGAGAACTGCTTTCATAATTGTGTAGGTACACACAAAAAAAATTAATCAGGGAAAGTCCTTTTAGTTTCAGTGTCAACAAAAGAAACACTGACAGTAAACAAAACTCATATTTGATAATTCAATGATTT